AGAGAGAGAGAGAGAGAGAGAGAGAGAGAGAGAGAGAGAGAGAGAGAGAGAACACACACTAAAGGCAGTCCTACGTTTTAATTCAGATTGCATTTTTTTCCAACTCTATAGAGACACTTCTCCTCGGGACAAAACGTTTTATATGTATCTGCAGTTATTGTTGTTGTTGTTGTTATTGTTGTTGTTATTTGCTGTTGTTGTTGCTGTCATCGTTGTCATTGACGTCGTTGTCGTAGTGGTCGTCGTTGTTTTTGTTGTTATTGTTCCGCTGTCGTTGTTGTTATTGGAGGTGGTAGGCCAGAAGCTGAAAATATTTTGTTGCACAGCAGAAAGTTAAGACAGCCTGTCACCACCACCCTCCTCCTTTTCTTTCTCACAGTGTGAGCCAATCCTAACCCCCCGCCCCCAAACCACGATTCTTTACTTCAAACGTTCTTCCATAGGCGGAGCAGTGGTAGGGGACGTCGCTGAGCACGTCAGAGGGCGGGGCCTCGGGCAGTTGAGCGTGTCTGAGTCCGCCCATGGCGTCAAACGTCAGCTGCCAGTGGGTCATCTCGAAGTCGTGCAGCTGCTGGCTGGGGCCGGGGCGGGGCATGTATCGCGGGCTGCACCGGATACACTTGCGGGGCAGGGGGCGGGGGGCTATGTTTGTGGTGCTGGTGGGCGGAGGGAAAGGAGGGGGGGGGGGCAAATGGATGATTCAGAGGACATTTGGAAACAAGTTCTTTAATCAGCTCAGTCATTGAGAATGTGCAGGATTGTCATGGTATTTCACGGGTATTTGCACAAATAGAATGCAAATCGGCCGTTTATCCGGAACCACAGACGTGAGTGATATTTCGAAATGTAAATGGGTGTTCTTTAGCATGAAAATGCAGGAAAGTATTAAACTACCAAAGAAGCCAAGGTTCTTATTGGGAATTGGAAGTCTGGCAGCGGACCTAGGGGAGGATCACCCTCCAACTGAGCTAAGTATAATATACAAACCCACCCTGCTCTCACTCTCACCTGACCAAGTTCGGGGGTTCGAGCCTCATCTCGGTCCGACGTTGTGTCCTTGGGAAAGGCACTTTACACGAATTTTCCATTTGGCCCAGTCCTTTCGGAGATGGACGTTAAATTCAGAGGTCTCGCCTCTTAGAATCTAAATAGGGGTGTTATACTTATACCATTTCATCTTTCTTTTATTTCCCCTGACCTAGACAACCACCTGTACAAACGGCCACTTTCCCCTCCCCCTCTCCACCCCTCTACCGCGATTTTAAAAACTTCAAAACGACATTGCCCAAGATGACCACCTGTCTTCTTAGATGACCACTTTTCTCTTTTTCAACAATGAATAGTTGTCTTGAACAAATCTAACAGTATCATCGTCCCATGGAAATGGGGCAAACATAGGTGGGTACAGACCTGCTTCCGAGAGACTTGGTGAAATTTAGCCAATCCATTGATGCTCTGGACGCCACACATGCTAGAGATTGTTTTCTACCCATTTTCTTGTTGCTGGCCACGCTTGAGCTCCTCCACAAATCCGCCATCTTGGTTGGAGAAGCGTGGGCCGCAGAAATAGATAGCAGAAAAAAATGAAGGGCTTAAAGTTCTGTAGTTTTATAATATATGGGAGACAAATGGCCTGATTCAAATGGCGTCGTCGTAAATGTTGAACGTTAAATATTATAATTAGGTCTATGCAGAGTTGGTTGCAACTTGCAAGTCAAGGCTGTACGAGCCAAACAGTCAGTCTTTTGGTGGTGTAATAGAGGGTCGAGTCGTTTCTTGGTTTTTGGGTTCAAGTCGTGATGGAAAATATATCAATCACTCGACACACAGAGGTGTGCTGTCTTCTGTCTTCTGGAACGAAACATCCCTCAGGGACAAGCCCATACAATGGCCAAGAGGCACACCACAGACTTGCACGGTATTAGAATAATCTATATCCAGATCTAATCTACATAGAGATGTGTTCACTGGAAATTGCAGATGCCATGATCCAAGTTCATTGTCACTGTTTTGTGAGTTTAGGAAATCCCCATAATTTTCTCACTTCAGTGCGCACCCTGATATCAGCACGTCTGAAAATCCGGTTATGCTATAATCTGCATCCTCCCCCCCTCTCTCTGTCTCTTGGCGCTTGTAATGTAACGGTTAAGCGCTTTGCTATAGTACGTGAGTTCCATTCCCAAAAGGTGGAATCTATTAACATTTAATCCAGTATCCTTTTCTATCTGCTGAGTCACTGTATCCCACTCAGCTTAAGTTGGCCCTCACAGGCATGGTAGATGCATCCCGCACTGCAAATATTCAGAATTGTGTCGATGAGGGCCAAGAATATTTATAACTAACCAACCAACGAACCAAACAACTTAACAAAATAAATCAGTCAACTAATTAACTAATTCCCCCATCTCTTCCCCCTCTGTTTATCCTCCTCTACTCCTCTATGTCCTTTCTCTCTGTCTTCTTTATAATCTACAGCAGAACAGTGGCCAACTGCTGATGTTTCCGAGCTTGGTCTATTTTGTACGAAGAAGGGGGAATCTCATGTGGTGCATCTATCCCGCCTTTCAGGCAATCCTGAGTCGTTTTGTTAAAAGTCCACTTGAGCCTTCTATGAGGAACTTATTTGACCTTCTACGAACACCGAGGGTCTCCACTCACGTGGTGCCACATGTGTTTCGCCAAGACTTCATGCGAAACGAACTTATTTCTAAAATGGCGGCGAGAGGATGGGGTGTCAAGCAGACTTTAACCATTATTCTTTCATTCATCCAGATGAATGGGATTAACTCGTTTTGAACCTTATCCTACGAGCACACCATCAATACCGTTAACAAATAGCACGATTTCACTGAAGCAGGGCGTGGAAGGAGTTACTGTAGAATTCGTCTCTCACAGTCGGCCCTGATGATAACTACGAGACGAAACCGCTCTTGTTTGAGTTCCCACACTGTGAAAAGAACACTTATAATAATAATAATAATAATGAAAATCATTTCTATCTTTCTATTTCATTCCACTCCCGTGTAAACACAGCTCTAAGCGCTTTACTTGTGTTGACTAAAGTCTGGCAGACCGACGTCTCTGGTGTAGTGGTTAGGGGCTCCACCGTCACACGCAGGAAGACAAGAGTTTGATTCTTGAATGGAGAGAAAATTTTTATAAATCTTGGTCGTGGCCCTAAAAGGCTTGCTCGGAAGCCTGCCTCCTAAATCATCTAAATTGTGTTGATTGGGGCGTAGAAACACCTAAATAAAACAGTCTGGCAGGTTACTTTAAGCTGAGAGAGACACGAGAGAGCTCCTGGCCAGAAGGCGGAAATCTCCAACCCTGACAGTGCAGAAGGTCAATCTCTCCAGTTATCCCCGGACAACAGAAGGACACCATTCAGGTTGTTGTACTATGGGACTCCACATCTCACGGGGTCAGAGGGCAAAGGACGCCATGGTAGGCCTCTTGGTTGGGGTTAAGGTCAGGGGAAAACACTTCATGGACAACAGAAGTCGAACAGAGCTGGGCTGGGGCAAACCAAGGGGAGAGAGAGAGAGAGAGAGAGAGAGAGAGAGAGAGAGAGAGAGAGAGAGAGAAAGAGAGAGAGAGAGAGAGGGGAGAGAGGGAGGGAGAGAGAGAGGGAGGGAGGGAGAGAGAGAGAGAGATATACACAGAGAGATCAAAACAGACAGACAAATAGACAGACAGACAGACAGAGGAAGAACCCTCCAGTGACACACTCCACCTGCCCTGCCCACAGTAGCAGCAGCTGACAACAAAAGGTCAAGCACTCCCTTGGCAATATCGATATCACCAGCCAAAAGTCCAGAGAAACTTCAACAAAAGCGATCCAATCACAACACTGACAGGTTTTCAGTTTTCATAATTTTATTTCCCCAATGCAGGGTGGAATGGTAATAGTCGTCATAGTCCTACAGTCAACTCCAGATCCAACGGTCAAGCCAAGAATGAGTGGACACAGACAACTACCAGTCAGAGAAAACCTCTGAAAGGTGAGAAACACTGTCCATGTACAGACAGACATGAGTTAAAACTGTAACCATGAGATAATATAGCCTGTGTAATGAGCCTACCAAAACCCCCAGATCTTCCCTCATATAATATAACCCTTTTATTTTATTACTAGATTAATAATTGTAAACCATTTTTAAAAAAGCAACATTTTACAGCGAAAACCCTGGATACACAACCCCTACCCTCTCTATAACCCTTACCCTACAATTTAGTTGGCACTTATAAGACCTATTGTGCTGTAAATGTAATAAAATTCCTAAAATTTAAACTAAAACAGGGTGGAGTGGGTCTAACTTTGCAGTCATACTTGGACAAGGGGTAGGGAGGGGGTTATCACTAACTTCATTATAAAATAATAATAAACTTCCTTCTTATTCTAATAATATATTTTCATAATTTGATCACATAAACATAAAATAATCTTATCCCACAAAACTGAATGGGCTCAGATTGGAGTGAGAAAAACAGGATGACATTTTGTTGTTGAACAACAAGCTGAGAGGACGGAAATAAATATCACAGGAGGGCAGCGAGTACAAGTACAACACATGTGTGTGTGTGTGTGTGTGTGTGTGTGTGTGTGTGTGTGTGTGAGAGAGAGAGAGAGAGAGAGAGAGAGAGAAACAGAAGAAGGGAAAGTCAACAAATGCTTGAGTCTGTCCGTGGGAGGACATGAGTGCATCAGCGTGTGGTATGTGTTTATGTACATGTGTGTGTGTGTGTGTGTGCATGTGTGCATGTGTGTTGCGTGCATATGTGGATTGGCAAGTGTGTACTACTGGAAAGAGAAGCTGGGGTTGGGTGTGGTCCCACACCATTGGCCGATAAACTTGAGAACATCTTGCAGCTCTGGACTGTGGGACACCTGTTGAGAGCGGAAAAGAATACATAATCATGTACAGATGTTCAGTACAAGTGTGCCTACATACACTGTGATTTCATTGTGTTCTGTATGTAAA